GTCTCCTCGAAGTTCTATGATATACAAATAACCTTGAAGTACACAAGAATCGATTTTATTTTTGTCGACCTTATTTGAAGAAGGAACAAAATTATTACAATGTATTACGTGGAAATTATTGCAAGGATATTAGTCTATTACTTCGATAAAATATGGCTTACATTTACGCAAAATACTTTTCCTGATAGGATTTGAAATTTTTTAGACGCATAGTGTAGTATTTTTTCACATAGCATAAAGACCAAATACAGCAATGATATTGTTTGTTTAAAACACAATCACGTATAAACACTTCCTCCAATAAAATTTATTTTAACAGCTTCTTCAACGGAATCTTATTTGTGAAGCGAAACGTACTTTCTGCAGAGGTACCTTATTTCTTATTAAGGGTGTATAAAAAATTTAAGGGGCGCGTTTTAATCGCAGCGGATGCTAGAGGGTGAACGCCATCGGAAGTGCCGGGGACCGCCATAACCGTAACTCACGTACCAGCATCCGACTGCGTTCAAAAGTGATGCTACATCCCTATGTATATATGCACCTATTTATGTACCAGTGCATGTACATCACTACCTCAACCCCGATTGATGGGGATTAACTTTGAACATAGAACATTAACGTATTCAGGTCACTACTGACAATTTATTGGCCAATTAAAACGTGTTTAGGATGTTGGTTCTTCATTTGAATATTAAATACAGTTGGTTGAGTAAATTATTTATTTTTGTTGCTCAATGTTATTGCAGTTGAAAATTGAGTTTGTGATTTACATATTTTCTGGTTTTGAGGTTACAATATTTATTGCTATGAGTGTATTACAAGGCTCATAATTGGTAAGTAAACATACATATTTGAACTGCTTTGTCAGTTTCACTCAAGCCAGGTAAAGTAGTGAGTAAATTGGTTTATTAGGTACCACGACAAGATATTTACAACCTAACCATATGCAGTGTAGAATAAGAGTACAACAATAATATGAATCCTTATTTTTGGTAATATAAGGTGTAATACGTTTTATTGATTACCCATAAAGAATAATATTAGTGGTACGAGTTCCCCAGCCATGAAAATGCCCTTATTCTTCCCATGGGTGTTGTAAGGTACGGCGGCGGGATTTAGCAACAAAATAAGGGCACGACATGCACCTGTGCAGGCATTAGTACGATTTCAATGGGACTATGAACACATCGGTTAAATGATCATGAGTCCTCTGTGACCAAGTTATTCATTTCAATTTATACTTTCATATTAAACATTATTTTGTTGGGTCAGATCAATGCGAATAAGTTCGACCCTTTTGCAATGGGAATAATATGGTGTAAAATGTTAAATGTGAGTTTCTAGCGACAGGTAACAATAACTGATTTCAATCTAAAGTCTTCGGGTGAAAATAGATTTTTGCTATTGGATAATTTTAAAAAACCGTTGCAACCCAGATCAATTCAGGGGTTAAGATCAAGATAAGGTAAGTCAACTTATGTCTGTCTCATAATATTGTTCATTCCAACATCGGGAAATAATATCGAACTTGTCAAATTCTTGCAAGTGAATCCAACCAATATTTTCAGCCGTACTGTAAAAAAAAACATTGGCTGAATAAGCTGAGGGTGAAATTTCCGCGAGTTAAGACTTTTCTTCCGTTTCCTTGGCCGGGTAACGAACTGTGTGCGAATGTGATATTTATGGACTTTTTCGTTCACTCTTTTTCCCCAGAACATTATTGCTTAGAGGAGTAAAACGTTACATATCTATAATAAACAGTCTTACTGTTATTGTACGGAGTCATGTAATCGTGTTATATACGTCTTATTTGTTTTTTAATGGGTGGTGTAGTTCAATATAACTTAGGAATTAATAAGGTACTTAGAAACTAAAATTTTGGACATGAATTTGGAAGAGGTATCGTTGCGTTATGTTCAAAATATCTGTTATATTTGGTAATAAAAAAGGTATTTGTTGAGTGTTGATTTACTAGTATAAGCACTAGCATAATAAGCAGTGACATTGATTGAGTAGTATGAATATTAATATTCAGTTCTGTGATTCTGTCTGCTGTCGCTGAGTATTTTTTTTTAAAGAGTGAAAATCTTCTAATGACTGCTCCCGTCTGGGTGCGGCGGGAGGGAGTTTCAGACTCTTACTGACTAAAAACCACCGCGTTCCTACTCCTGCACTTCGAACCGGAATCCCGGTAACCCGTTAGGTTCTCCGCGACTACGTATCGGTATCAGCCCTATTGGGCCCCATTCGTGGTAGTCTGATGGGTCTTTGAGGCGCGCGCAGAATGGGACGCGCCGTACGCTCGGGGTCTCTGAGTATTAGTGTATTGAAAAAATAGGTTAGAAGGTTAAACGACCTTTATAACTTGGCTCAACTTGTCTCGTTGATATAAATAAATGGACGACCTTAATAAGTCATAGGTGAAAACTACTTAGAACCGCCCACTATATGTGATCCTTGAATACTTCTATTGATCATATATACCATCCTCCGTATTAATCAATTATACATGTAATTTAATCTTGCCATAATTTTCTGAGACGTCAAGTTAATTATAACCAATAACAACTTCTTTCTTCTAACAATTATCTATTTTTAATGTTATTTCTTATTAGTCGTGTCATTCGCGTGGAAGCATGGTTCTCCCACGTAAAAAGCTATAAATATAAAATAACATAATTATAAAATTGATCTGAACGAACAAAGGAGGTGAATCCAGATGCCTTGCTTTCTATTTTCAGATTACTTACCTATTGGTATTGGAAAGTACTTTGAGTAGGTAATAAACCATTTTCTAAGTATTATCATGTCATCTTCATGATTGTACTTATATATATTAAATCGTGATTTTCATAATTTGCACATTAGCTTTACTAGTAAATTAACGTAAATGTTATGTGCTTTTTCAATATATTTGGGCTAGACTTTACTTTTGCAGTTATTTTGCCTTATAAAATATGTTACACTGCAAACCTTTGAGTAACCTAACATACAAGGTCTTATAAAACGTATATTGCATAATAGATTAAACACAGCAAAACTGGAATGATCTGTCACCAGCGGCGGTATTCCCGAACCGAGACGACCGTCAAACCTTCGAGAAAATAGCGTATTCCTTGGCAACGCACTTGTGACTCCTCTGGTGTTAAGGGTGTGCATGGGCGGCGCTGATCGCTTACCATCAGGAGATCCATCCGCACGTTTGCCTCCTAAAGGTCAAAGCAAGTATGTGTAATTATTTTTGTGTGACTTCTTCGTCCAAATAATTTTTGTTGTATTGTTTACTATATTAAGTTGCCACAGTTACGTTGAGTCGTACCTTTAGTCATTAGGTACTCAGATAATGATTGTTACGGATTCAAGTTATATGAGGCTTTAATGTTAGTTGTTACCGACTTCAAAAAAAGGAGGAGGTACTATGTTCGGCTGATTACCTATGTCATGCATGGCTTTTCATGTCAGTTGTTATATAGCGCTGTGGTAAATATCATATAGGTATTCTGAAGGTATTCTGACTTATATCAGTAGGTATCGGTAATGTGGAACCAAATTTGATGAGAGACCCCCAAGTTTGTTTACTAGTATGACGAATATTCCACTGGTTCATTATTGTCTTTGTTTTCTAGTGGGTTTGTTTTCGTGATAAGGTGTTTTGATAAATTATAGATTATTATGAGATATAGTATTGAAGTATGTACTCATAGGTGTGTTGTTTGTTCATACAAATGTTTTGTATTAGTAATGTGTGTGTAATAGTCCAGTCATGCGTACAAATAACTATCGATTTTATGTACATACATTGTAAAATGTGTTCTTTGACTTGGAAAAAAGAATTCAATGTTGCACGAAAAGGTTTATGATCAAACAATGTGGTGATGGAAGTAACAATATAATTGTAGTGGCGACTTCCGACTTCATACGATGACATAAGGTATTGTGTTGTCATCGTGTCATAGGACTGCGTTGCTTGGGTTAAAAAAAACACTGAACAATATTTTAAATTTTGTGTTAATTAACTTTGAGTTACGCAGTTAGTAATTGTCGTTAAGAGATTACGCAATACGTGCATTTTTTAGAATATTACAGTCTGCTCGTTGAGTACCGTCATTTTAGACACAATTATAGAACAATAGGTTGCGGTCACCGGTGACCGCTTGGTGTTTGACAGTTTAAATTATTTACTTTTGCTTATCGAACACATGTATAAGTAACTAGTGTTAAACACTAGTGTTGGAACCACAAGCTGCCTAGGTGTCAATGTACGCGAATGGAAACGTTAATGAAATATATTCAACGAAGCTTGTACATAAGAACAGGCACGATATCGTTAGCTTAGTATCGCTTTCTTCCCAACATTTACACCAAACACAATCCAACACATCTGGCGTACGTAATTTTGTTATGAAGAAAAACTTTCTTAATAAGAACGCTGTTTGGTTTGCTATTTTCCTTCATAGCTTTGAAGACGAAACGGTGAAATAATTACTCGTGTTTCTGTCTGCTGTTCCCTGATTTGATTTTCTTTTTGCTCGTGTACCTACTCGATAGTTAATCGAGTGCAGTAATTATGTTATTTGTTCGTTCCACGTCTATGAGTGGGTTTTCAAATATTGTGTATTATTATGATGTACAGTTGATGTACAATTGCCTCATTGGCCGAGTGGTCGCAAGTGCGACTGCTGGGCAAGGGGTCTCGGGTTCGATTCTCGGGTCGGGTAAAGTATTACTGGGTTTGTAAAAAGCTCAGTAGTAGCACGGAGTCTGGAAATGTGCCCGGTATATGGCAATAGGCTCACTCCCTATTACATGGGACTCATAACATAAATAGTGAAAAGTGGGTGTTATATTGTACAGTGGCTTTAAGTGCCGTAATGTGAACCTCTGCCTACCTCTTCGGGGATAAAAGGCGTGATGCTATGTTATGTACAGTTGTTAAGACATTATGTTTATTACAAAAACATGTAGGCTCTAATAATATTTCAAATAGAAATGAAACACTGTTTCAATTTAAAAATTCCTAAACTTTTATTTAGCGTAATTGTTTACACTTTTATATTGAGTACTTCATTAGGTACATTCACTAATTATCGTGCACGATAAGATAAATAACGATTTATCGTTAATTTAGAAAGATAATAAAAAAACAACGCAGATCTTATAATTCCAAGAATTTGTTGTGGAGTTCATAAATATAAAACGATCACAGTGTCGTATCGAGATGGCAGGAAAAGCTGGATCTTCCCGCACACGTTGAGTTGCATGGGCTCGAAGTCTTTTAGGGATTAGCGGAGCGCATTTGGTGGGACTCCGTGGTACGGATAGTGGTGCGGTGGTGGTGGATGATGGGGTGGTGGTGGGTGATGGGGTGGGGGTTGGTACGGAGGTGGATGATGCGGGTAATGGTGCGGCGGCGGCGGCGGGTAGTGATGTGGCGGCGGCGGCACCACGTGGTTCGGCGGGTAGTGCGTCTCCATACGAATACGATGTCTGCAGTGCGGGGCGCAGTAGGAGCCACACGTGGGCCCGCAAGGAAGAGCATGCGGAGGCGGCATAGCTGGAAGACAACGTTTCATTGTTACCGACATTACAGAATAAACTAATATGTTAAACTAAAGGATATAGTACTTAGACACACGTCTTCATAAGTTAACATTGAATTATAGGTAGTTAGGACTAACTGGATGAGATTGGCTTTAGTCATGTGATCAGACAATAAAATGTTACCTCGAAAAAATCAATCACAAAAGTACCTACTAAAAGCTAAATTTCCAGGGAATGAGGCTATAACCCAAATTTAAGTATGACTGTATGACACACCGAATAATCTCATAAGAGGATTTATCTTAAACACAAACTCTTCGACAATAAACAATATTTTTACTACCGAAAAATCCTTACCTTCAAGATATAACTACTTTTGTTCACAAATAAACTTATTACTATAATAAAATAGCTTGTGTACTGCAAGTGAAATCAACAGTGAATGATAAGGGTCCTATGGTTGTACCTATTTATCGTTTTTTTCGTAAGCTGCGTAGGCCCTTATCATTTCAGCCTGATAATACTGATAGCAGAAACGTGACATTACAGAGAATGACTAATAAGTGTTGTTTTGGTGAAGAACCGGGATGTGGAACGTTGGTGACTAGTTTGTGCTTGTTATGGTTTGTGAGTCATTCGTTTTTAAGATCCAGGGAGAGGCAGAGAGAGAAGACCACGTCTTTTCAATTTTTTTTTGGCATAAGGCTTCCGCCTTACCAACAAGCAGACGGATCACCAGATGGAAAGCAATCGGCGTCGCCCATGGACACCTGGGAAACCAGAAGCGTTACAAGTGCGTTACCGGCCATTTGAGGATTAGGAGTTTCAGGATCGTTGGGGATTCAGGGAGATTGGGGAAGGGGACGGTAATTGGGCCTCCGGTAACCTCACTCACACGACGAAACACAACGCAAGCGTTGCTTTACGTCGGTTTTTTGTGAGGTCGTAGTATCACTCCGGTCAAGCCGGCCCATTCGTGCCGACGCATGGCTCTCCCACACTTAAAAATGGCTTTAAAACTTCCTCTTCTTCGAAGATCACATCTCTGAATGCCCACTAGTTGTGGGTTCTGAAGCGCTGTGGTTCCCGTACGTGTGAGAGGGAATCTGATCTAACCTAACCTTTGCTTCCCGTATGTAATTATAATTGTAATTATAATCATATGATTAGGACTTTTCATATTGGTCCCATAAAAGTGTTTAAAGAATAATGTTTGTTTAATCATGCATCATTGGTTTGGTAACCTTTTATGGAATTTTTTTTCTTTGTCGTTTTGGGGCCTCGAAGATATGAACTTGCCATCGTCTTCTGGCATCCCAGTTAGAACTGAGTTAACGAGGTATTTAAAAATTGATTGCGACCTTTCTCAGTTCCTTTTTCATTTGTCCGTCATAATTACAATTTCATTAGCTGTCTCCTTATAATTTTGTTATATTCTGGAATGGAGCCTTGTCCTTCATAGAGACGTTAAAATTGTTATATTTTATAGCATTTTATTACGGACAGTCTTGTAGGCATAGCGGACATATGTCCGACCGTAAGGAATTTTTTATTTGTATTAAAAGTTTTTTATGCTATAACGGCAACCTATTTCTAGTAATTTCTCCTGTCTAGTGCAAAATTTAGCTGTATATTTATTTTTTTACTGGGAAACAATTTACTTTCGATTCTTCAGTCTTGCTAAGTATTAACATCACACCAACTTTTGTCACTTCTTTTTTTATGGAATAGGAGGCAAATGAGCAGACGGATCACCTGATGGTAAACGATTAGCGCCGCCCATGGATACCCGCAACACCAGAGGAGTAACAGGTGAGTTGCTGGCGTTTTAAAAAGGAATACGCTCTTTTCTTGAAGGTTTGAAGGCGTACGGCCTTCAAACCGGTTTGGAAATACCGCTGACGACAGATCATTTCACAGTTTTCCTCTGCGAGGCAGAAATCTACGAGAAAATCGCACAGTTGTGGCCTACCAACCATTTATATGATGGGGATATACTGTCATGAGGGTCGATGGCGAAAAGACGCGCTAGGTATGAGACCAAACAATTCCTAAGAGCTCTCCCCGTGGTATAAGCTATAGAAGATGCACAACGAAGCTACATCTCTACGCCTTGATAGTGTTATGTTAACTTAATGCATAAAATGTGATATATTTGCTAGACAACTATTGTATATGGGGTCATCTACTGATCATAATATATATACATCGTAGGTATGTTTACCTCGACACGTCATTATTACCAAGTTAGTGGCATAACAATATTGTCAATCTAGCATAATAAAGGCCTTGTCTGGTACTAATCCTTTGGTTCAATCAGTGACACCTATTCATAGCTACCTATTGTGCCTACACTGCTTACCATATAGGGGGCTTTTATTATAATTCTAGCTAGTCTATTGATTTGATGCTTATCTATTCATTTAATAGAAAACGTAATAAGACGAGCTAAGAAGCTGGGTGGCTGGCACCTAGGGTGTTAACAGTACCTACTCTCATTATTTTTTACATAGTAGATCTAATTGATTAAAAATAACAGTACAATAAGCTGTGCGACGTCACAGCGACCGCGCGCACGCTGATCACGACGAAGAGGTTCCTCTGTGACTCGAAACTAGTAGAGCTTTTCTCAGTATACACATAAGTGAACCAGTGAATTTAAAGTTAATTCGGTATGTTTCATGAATAAAATGTATTCAGTTAATTGAATTCATATTTATTCTATAAAATCTCTGATTCTGATGCAGCTAACTACTCTCATTAGTCCTTAAAAACAGTTTTCTATTGACAGTCAAAGGCTTAAGCAATACCAGCAGTTTTTTTGTTGATTTTTCCGACACCGTTTAACCCGATATATGTGAAAAAACTTCACTTCTTCATTATCGAAATTTTCACACGATTTCGTTCTTTCTATAGCCTATGTTCATCATTCATAATGTAGGATTCCAACGCTAAAAGAATTTTTCAAATCTATCTGGTAGTTTCAATTTAGTAGAGGCTATTCAATTCAATTAAACAAACAAAAAATCAAATCTTTCCTCTTTATACTATTATAACTAGTGTAGATGTAGATATAGCTACATATTAAATTAAAACATTATTCCTAAAATATACGATCTCCGGCCATCGTAAGCGACGGCCTGCGGACGGTGAGCATGGGTAGCTCTCCGTCCGACCAGAAATAGACCCGAGCGTACGGCGCGTCGCGTTCTGCGCGCGCCTCAAAGAGCCATCAGACCACCACGGATGGGGCCCAATAGGGCTGATGCCGATTCGGAGTCGCGGAGAACCTAACGGGTTACTGGGGCTCCGGCTCGACGTGCAGGAGAAGGAACGGGGTGGTTTTTAGTCAGTATTAATCTGACTCTCCCTCCCGCCTCACCCAGGCGGGACCACCCTAATTCCCTTAATAAAAAAAAATCTTAAAATATGGTGTTAAAAGATACTAAGTGCCAACTTCCTAATTCTATTCAATAACGGTGTGCAAAGCCGTAGGAAGTAATAAGATGGTTTTTAATCCGTTTAGCGAAGTGACTCACAAAGAATTATTCATTTTCCTTATTTAATACCTATCGACGTCAGTAATAAGTGCGTTTTAATTTCACAAAATGTTATCAGTCATTTTTCTCGCTAAATATCATTAATGTCTAGATAAGATGTTAGCATTTCGTCTACTGCTGATGAAATATTTATCGTATCAAATAAAATTATTACTTTAAAATGTGTATTTTTCTCGTTAACACCAGATCTATAAGGAAAATAAGAAAAGGACAGGTGTAGCCGTTGTAAACATTGTTGGGAAATGGTACAAATATATCTATGCTCTATGCTGGATCTGGTCCGCACGTCCGTGTTTTTTTTAAATTAGTAAAGTTATATTCTATAGTTTGTGACTTTTGCCAAAATTACTGCATTATAAATGCAAGTAGGTATCTGATGACAAAGATAGGCTCTCTGCATATTGATACAGCCATGTAAACTGTTGATTATAATGTACACCCTCCCAGTTTTCGGGGTTAACGACATTAATGTAAACAAATTCAACGATCTGGACACAAAGCTAATAATAATATTAGTTATGTAATTATTTTTAATACGAAAATGGGTTTTTCAAATTTCCATAAATTTCACTTGTCAAAAATGTGTCCAAATAGCAGAATGACGAAATTAATGTGGCAAAATATCTATAACTATGAATTTTAATGAAAAGTTCTTAATCAATTTGATGTAGATTCTTCTTATACATCATTCTCTGTCTTAGTTTATTTTCACCCTTTTTGATATTATGTATATCTGTAATTTGACGTTATTTTTTCAATATTGTAGTCGAGTTATCCACGATATTTTTTTCCAAGGTAGAATATGAAGGATATAGACAAATATAATTAAGAACTAATATTCCCTAAACATGAATTACTTATTCAAATTGTCGAATATTTTATAATCTACATCGATAAATATAACTTATCATAAATTACCTATTTTTAAACGATAAATAATAAGCGATTGATTTATGAAATGGCTTTGATTACAAACAGGCGTTATATATAGATATATGTAGAACAAAAACAGTTCCCCAAAAAATATCAAACACTAAAATGTAATATTAAATTAAGTACAAACACGTAACGTAACTATTTGTGTTATGGCCGGGACATTCACAAAACCTGATATCGATTTCTCGGATATCGATGAAAGATAAGCCAACAATATAACGAGATAACATGTGAGTACTTAGGTATAACAAGAGTATCTAAAAGTACGAAAACAATAATTAATCGGCATTCTACAGCCAAAACAGCTACGAAACGGTCAACTTTCAACTGAAATATTAGTTTAAACAAAAGTGAGTTTTATCAACTTTTATTTAAAACCTTTTTTGGATTGTGGTTATCTAAATTATTTGTTTTTGTATTTAGATAACATTCTTGGCCAGATTTCTTGTGCAAATGGGCAACTCACGTAAGTTGGTCCAATAATGGAACTGTTGATTAATGTTAAGAATATTATGTGTAAAATGAGTGTAATTAATCGAAACGTATAAATATAGTATTGTCCCAAAAATAACGAGTTAATTAATGATTGACATCGAGTGATCCCTTGATATCAGACCAATTAAGGCATGTAGTGTGGAGGTAAATATTTCAATGATAGCATAGCGTATCGTCCAAATGAGAAAATTCTGTGTGATTTGTGATTTTACTTTTTGATTTTACCTGACTGTCAAAATTAGAGTTTGTTTGTGTCAAATGGTTTTTTGTATGTGAATTCGTGTCTACTAAATAACTAACCTTTTGTGCATTAAATTATATTAAATCTATATCCGTCTATATCAGATAACATGCCGCCCCCACCTCCACCACATGGACCTCATCACGGGCCGCCCCATCATGGGCCACCGCATCAGGGGCCACCCCATGCCGGACCATATCACGGGCCACCCCATCACGGTCCACCCCATCACGGGCCACCTCATCACCACGGACCTCACCATCACGGCCCACCGCATTACGGCCCAGTGCATCACGGACCGCCCCATCACGGACCGCCCCATCACCATGGACCACACCATCACGGACCCCCTGGCCCGCCTGGACCACATTGGTAGGGATCCGATAGGTCCTAATGGATCCCGCCTATTCTTTTATAGAAATTTTAATCTTAAGAACATATAAATGGAAGTGATATTCCAATAAAGTCGTATCCTAGCTACGTATTGTGAAAGTTTTCTTTTTAATTACGTAAGTTAATCGCTGACTTCACGGTGAATTAAGATCCAAGGAATATAGATAAAAATGTTAATGTTGTTTTAAATTAAACTCGGAACAGTTGCTGTAGGTAATTTAATTAAAGGCCAGTTAAGATTCAACTATTACTTTATTCCAAGCAACTCAGATGATCTGTTGAAGTATTTTATATTGATTTTAATAAAAATTGTCTACGTCTAGAGAATTATTTTGTTTTATTTCTCTTTCATTTTTCAGTTTTGATTAAGTATTAATAATGGCTGCTCTTTGACTATTCTTTGTAATATTCTTTATAAGCAACTAGCAACTCGTCCCGGCTTCGCACGGGGCAGACAAATATTTATTTTTGGACATTTGGATTGTTGTAGTGACATAACTACAATAGGACATATGCTACCGCGGAGTTTTTTGTAGACATTATGATGTTCTTCAATATTGTTGTACATTATTTTGTTCTATCGCTAATAGTCTCGGCAGCGCATTCGACGTAAGACATTTTAAGACTCATTTTTCTACACATTCGGTGACATTGTTCAAATTTTACCAAGGATCCCTATTTTTTTTCCAAATGAAATGTAGCCTATGTTAAATTGGAAGAATGTAGTATTCTATTGGTGAAAGATTTTTTTAAATCGGCCCGTTACTTTTTGAGCCTATTCATTACAAACATACAAAAATAGGTACAAATCTTTCCTCTTTATAATATTATTATAAGCAAATAAGCAATAAGCATAACATATAAGCAATGTGGGTTTCATACCAACTTTTTGGTTAAGCAAACGTAAAAATGTTTTAGTTATCTGTACCAAAATTGTAAGTAGAACTCTGCAATAACGCAAGTGCAGGTGTTGCACACCTTTCTTTTCCCCTTCGAGAAAACAGTGTCATGTTTTGTTTATATTAATGTCAGTTAAAGCTGTTACATATTCTAAGCCACTGTCCTGAAAACGCGAGTATTATTTAGGACCTTATGTACTTTCCAAAAGAAACTAAAACGCATTAGATACTACTCAGCTGACAGCTGAACTGATATCTCATATTTGAATGGACACTCTTACTAGTGCATATAACTCCTATAGCATAAACACATATCAAGTATGTATTTCCTAGTAAACGCAGTGGTTACTCATACCTGGATAGTACCAAACACTTTGAAATCTTTTGATAAGGACAGGCACTTCAGCTTCCTATCACATAACATCGCAATAATGGTATAACATATCGGGCTGCCTATTTTTAGTCTACAATGATATGTAAAACAGTAATATTTAGCTAAATCTGGTTAGAACTACTTTATGCGTTGTATTCCACAGTATGAGTGAGATCGGAGGTTCTATAGGCTTCATAAGGCCGGCAACACATTTGTGTAAGTCCTCTGGAGATCCGAGCATCCACGGGTGGCGTCCATTGCCAGGTGATCCATCCGCTCGTTTGCCACGAGCTCTTAATTAATTAGGTGGTCAGGAGAAAAAAATAAGAAAAAGTACATATAAGTCCACACCTATTTATTTCAGTAGTTGCAGTGCCAAACGCACTGTGTAATACGACCATTAGAACAATATTTTTTTCAATTTTCTACATTACTTTCTGTTTTTAATATTAAAAATAAATTTATCTAAAGAAAGAAATATATTTAAAGTACGCTTGTAGTGCAATTTTCTGAGACCTTATAAGTGCTTTTTGTACTATCGAGTTAGTAAAATTCATTGACGTGAGTCATGATTATAGTCTGAATAAAGTAAATATTGATTTTACGTCCAATTATTATTTAGTAAAGACTTTTACCTAGACGTATTGTACTACTAAGCCCTTTATAACATCTATATTGAATGTTTAATAAGTAATAGACTTGTGTCATGACTTGCATTGTGTGATAGTAACTAAAATAAATCAACTCAAATTTACTCGGCATTTAATCTATAAGTAACAATATAATCAGTTCACATTTCCGTTAATAAATTACAATATGTATCCGCCATTTATTACGTGAATTTTTAATAAGTTGTATTATGAAATAAGCTTCATTTACGCCCGTGAGTAATGTTTTGTCCATTTTATTACGACACCGAAAATTAATTAAAATGATTTACAAATGTGGGATGATTTTAAGTGTATACAGCATGCGCAGCATTTAATAAATGTTTAAAAATTATGAGAAGTTAAAAGTATATTAAAATAATCGCAATCAGTATTCCATTAGCCGGAGGTGGTAAATTATATTTGATTAGTTCGAATTGAAGTTGAGGAGAATAATAATAATCAATCGATAACGATAATCCTATTGAGCTCATTGAGAGATTGATAAGTATGCTTAACAGATAAACCCAACAAACAGGTCACTTTTCTGAAATAATATTTTAAGATAAAAACTCTGAGAGCCAATAAGCAAATTGATTTTAAAAGCAAACCGCAGGAAAGACAGTTTATTAAAACGTAAATAAGTTTGCAGTAAAAGAGACCGCAAATATTTCTTCAAACGAAGGGCAAACTATCAAGGCTCATTGAAGGCAATAGGCCACTAAATAATAATTTTACTTCGTCAACGAAACGGCAATCCGTTAAAAGTTGTTCGGAGTTTTTCATAGCCCGTTTGTTTTGAAATTTCCTCAAAGCAGAAAATGCTATTTACTTATTGCGCTTCGTTTACTTACAAGGTATTTAGGTTTGTGTCGTCTGTTCTCAGTTTTGTATTTGGAAAATGGAATTTTCCTGTTGGGATATAGAAGGGGCGGAATTCCCAATCGATTTTCAAAAAGGATGTTTGTAACAGCTACCTATTTCGTTTTTGTTTACAGTTTGTCCTTTTGGGGCTTCATTTGTTTCTTCTCGTTTTAATAACTGTTTCTTTTAAACTTAAACGTATTGTTATGATTCAGAGGATTTGCTAGAAACTATGAGTGGTACTGAGACATGAAGTGAGCCACGTATGATGTGGAAAAACCTGAATTAGACGTTGTTGTATTGGATAACGCTTGTAAAAGATAAAGACATCAATTCACCCGCTCGCCGGTTTAGATAAGGGTGTCCGTATATATTCATCGTTCGATCTCATTAGTAGTCCAATGTTAACGATAACCTTCATCAGGAACACTCTGTGTGAAATTATTTAAGATTTTATTTTACGGTAAGTTACTTACTGTATAATTTTACTCTAATTTATTTTTAATGAAATTTATTTAGTGAAATTTTACATAGGCCTTAAATCTTAACTCGCTAGACTTTAATGTTTGATGGCTAGAGACGCTCATTAAACAAACAATTAAATTATAACATAAAGTTGATTTCTTCCATTGAAATTGCAAAATAAATACTCAATTCAATATTGTGTACCTACGTAGTTACATTCTGTTAAGCCTAATTTTTGTATACAATTCTTAAGCTACTGTTAAAAGTAGGTATTATAAATCTAGAGCTCAAGAAGTTCTTTAAAGAATTCCTAAATAATGTCTTATTTATTATATATGATGTTGTCACGTCATATATAATATCTTTCTTCTTGATAATAACCTTAAGATCATTCATCTTGCCACAACAAGTATCCATGGTGGTAGTTAGCTCCCAAATCATGGCGCCCTCTAATTCTAACGTATGTTCATAAAATGGCCGCCAAGCCACTAACTTACAAAAGTTAGAAATTATAACTTGGAATTGGAACTGAGCCCGATTTGTAGTACGTAGATAATATGTAGTAGATATGTATGGGAGCTTAAAACAGGAACTAATTTTAAATTAAAATGATAGATATCTTAGAACAGTGTAGTTTAAACTTTTTCTCTTTTTTGCTAGGTTAAAACAGTCCTCTTTTTATTTCTTGATTTGTGTTATACGGAAGTAAAAATATATATAGGTACCTTTAAATACAAAAATATTATAAGCGTGTGAGGTACTTCATACATTACCTTATGCGCAGTAGGTGTGGAAGATACTATGTGCCTGAATGTTAGCGATGACACGTCCTGGGTACTCATTTCTTAGTGATGTTACCACTTCCTTACTCATTTCCTTCCAAACCTGGTGGTTACAAACGATATTTTGTATAGGTCGGTCGGTGATTCAAATTTTTAGTTTCCGACAATTATCAGTTCCGACAATACTGAGTCTTGATGTTCCTGATGTATGGAATGCTCTCCCAGTTACATGAGACCATAGCAATCAGTGAAAAGTGGCTGTTGCACTTATAACCTTCTTACGTGGAAAAATAACCAATACGTATTTTTTTAACAGAAATGTCACCACCACCGCACCCAGGCCATCCACCGCACCACCCAGGCGACCATCCTCCGGGACATGGGCCGCCACACCACCCACCAGGGCCTCATCACCCGCCCGGGCCTCATCACCCGCCCGGGCCGCATCATCCGCCGCATCATCCACCACACCACCCACCGCATCATCCACCACCACACTAGTCATCAGGGCAGGTTTGCCTCACCAATGGCGATTGAGAGAAATGCTAATCCGTACAGTATTAAAATGTTTAATTAAATTATGTTTATCTTATATCATTATGAAGTATTTTTTATTATAAATCTACCAATTATGTTTTATAACGCAATTACCCTCTTCTCAAACCCGTAAAACCCCAATAATCTTCAAATTTCTTATCCCCAAAAGGCCGGTAACACACTTGTAACAAGTCTGGTGTTTCGGGTGTCCATGGGCGACGCCGATTGTTTACCATCAGGTGATCCGTCTGCTCGTTTACGGGCTTATTACACATAAAAATGCTTGTTCATCCAACTCATTTGGCTACGCTTGGTTTGAACCCTTGGTGTGGCTTGAAACCAGTCCAGTTACCTCGTCGAACAGCGAGTAGGTCGTAATAAATTGTGTACGATAATTAAAATCTTTTTTCCTACCGGCTTTTGTTTAATTTTTCTGTATTTTTCCTAATAAGTGTATCCAGTGTCGGTTATATTAATAGTAGATACATATTTATGGTACGTAAGTCATAAAATGGCGGTTAGTTCAAGTGTTCCTTTAAAGTTAAGATAAGATTACGTTTGTATGTTTACATTTGCTTTACGTACATTAGTACTGAAATAGTATAATATGATCTTTTCCTATTAATTCCCAATTTGGTATTACGTTTTGTTCTATGTTTTTGTAAATTCACTGAACTTGCTACCCATTCGCAATAATTTGATATTGGCATTTCAATAAACATTACAGTTTTTAATATACAGTAAATTATCAAAACCACAG